AGAAAGGGAAATAACTGTCACCCGTCAGGTCCTTCCGTGCTGCTGCACACTGGAACCAGTTCAGCCTCGTCCAGTGGCTGGCGGTTGTGTTCTGTGCAAATGCACTGCACTGACCTCTACACAGGCACGCCTGGTATCAGTGCCACAGAGGAGAACAAACCTGACTCCATATTAGATCCTTCAGTTTTAACCACTGCGCCCTGTTTTCTAGGCTGTCTTGTCACCTCTGCACCTTTTGCAAAACAATGTTGCCTTTGGCCTGAAACAGACAGGAGAGCCTATTCTCAGGGCTCTGACCTTTAAGGATGTTTGCACTTGTGCACAGAGATGGCAAGTTGAAAAATAGGGAATAACCTTTGTTTTGTTGGAGGTTTACAGCGAACCATGGCTGGACCCACTTGGATGGCTGCAAGAACAAAGAATTCCTGCAGCAAGAAGTTTGCACCAACCAACCACACCCACTCCCGTGTTTTTTTGTATAAAAGGAGCCTGAATTCTGACTGAGGGAGGGTGGTTCTCCAAGACATTAGCCTGCCATCCTTGGTCTGCCGGCTTTCCAAATAAAGTCACTATTCCTCGCCCCAACACCTCGTCTCCCAATTTACTGGCCTGTTGTCCAGTGAGAAAAACAAGTCTGGACTTGGCAACATCAGTACTAAGTTTTGTAAGCTCCTCAGTAGATACTCAGTATTTATGATGAACTGATACTTACTTCTGACATTTTTTAGGAAGAAAATCATACATATTAGATTTATAAAGAAATGGACCCTGTAATTAGTTTGTGGGTTTGGCTACCGCTATTTATGCATTCAACAAGGAACACTGATGTAACAATCACAGCTCAGATTTACGTACCACATATCCTTTTTTTCCCCTCAGTTTTCTGTCATGTTATTATCACTGAATTGGGAGATAAGGAAAATGAAGCAAAAGCCAGCAATTGGTGTAAATCTCTGATCTTCTGACCTATGGCTAGTTTCTAACTAGCTGGACACATCCACTC